TCGTCCAAGCAGTCACTGCAGGGTCAGCAATGACTGAGCGCAGACAAAAAAAAAAATAAATCAAGTTGAGAGCTTCCAAAGCAAACTGGACAAACACTCTACATATATACAGTGTCTTTGGTATTATTATTTACAACAGAACTAGTTGCTTCATATCGATTCTGAAAAAAAAAAAAATCAGCAGATCAGAACTAAAAGAACCATTGGTCACCTCTGGGACGTGACATCAAATGTATATCACAGTATTCACAGCAGCTGCACACAATTACATTTTAAGCTCTCCCCCCATCTTATTAGAGTTTCTTCATTCATGTTCAGAACATATCCTCTTTTCAACTGTAATTTTACTATCCAGTTGGACACCTCAGTTACAATACTAGGGATTCATCCACATGTCTGGTTGCCACAGTGTAAAGAAAACTCATTAACTATTAATTGAAGACAGGAACACATGATGTCCGCAACCAGTCTCCAGACTACCATGGAGATAATTTCCACCCATCTTTCTGTGTTTCAGTTCAGAAGTGGCGTTTTTCTGTTTCTGCCAGCATAAGCTATGCTTCGTAGTCTGCCACGAATCGTTCTAAGATTAAGTTTATGGAAGGAGGCTAGCTTGCTGCTTTTGGTCGCCCGAGGCTATTGCTGTGGTTGCTGGCCAGTGAGTTTCAGGGCCATTTGCCTTGCTCTCCCACTGTGCCAAAAAGCCATCTCTCCCATTTCTCTTTCAACTCATGGGTGGCAAGGAAAGTGGGAAGAGAAAGAGGGAAGCAGAGTTTTCGGATGCCAGTTCTCCAGGCACTAAAATGACCCACTTCCCCCTAAGAAAGGTACAAAGGGGGAAGTTCTATGGGATTAGAGAACAGGCAGAAAAGAAGTCATTTTCCTCTTCTTTCCTTCATCCCTCTTCTCATACCACCCATGGGCACAGAAGGAGAGGAAGTGGTCTTTTGGTGCAGTTTCTCCGGGACCCATTTTGGGATTCCTTCTCACCATGGAAGTTCTGCTTTATCACAATGATGTCACCTGAAGAGGCACTTCCCCTCATCTCATAGCTGTCCATTTCTCCATGTATTGGTGCTGCAGTGCCAAAGCTGCAAAGAGACCATCTTATACATGTCCAGCAGTCTTTTGGAAGACTGCTGGACATGTATAAATACAACTGGATAAATGTTTAAAATGCCTCACTCTGGTTTTGGCATCATAGCACTGAAGCCATGGGGGAAGAGGGTGTTTTAAGCAGTGTACAGCATACACCTGGGAGAAGCAGTTCTGTCATATGCATTTACACAGGAAAGGGTAACAAGACCCACTTTTCCTCCTCCACTCCCTTTTGGCAAGTGGTCAGGAGGATGGGTGGAAAGGAGGGACTGAGTCTCTTCTCTCCTCCTACCACTTCCCTTGGCATGAGTGGCAGGAGAACAATACGGAAAAAAAAGGGGGGGGAGAAATAGGGGAGGTTGACTTACTTACTGCCAATTTTTTGACCCTATCCATGGACTCTGAGAACTGACACCAAAAGAGCACCAAAGATAACTAGCAACAGAAGAGGCATTCCCATCCTAATTCTCTCCTTCCCCAGGATCTCAGTGTGGACAGAATCCCTATTCTGTTTCATTCCCAGGACAGGATATTTGTCCACAGTGTAGTCACTCTTAAGCTGGTATACTTTTCTGTCAGTTTCCACACTGGTCATGTTGGTGTGCAGAACAGCCTGAGATCAGTTTAGATGTGAAGGTAGCCAGCATCAAATAATCTCCTAAAAGAGAATCTATGTTTTGTACACACATTGATTTGAGTTCATCTCATCTTGCTTTTCTCTCTCCTGGCATTTCTCACCTTTCTGAAGAGGACATCATCAGGAGTGGGGGTGCTATTTGTACGCCAGTTGCCACGACTTCTCTGTTCATGGGATTTGTCATAGGGATAATTGGCAACTACAGCTCCACCATGAAGATTGGCTGATAGAACAAAATTGTAACTCTTCAGCCACTGAATTACAGCCAATGTCTCTGGTTCCACCTGTGAGAGATACAGAAAATACCAAGCCAGATGCACAACCTGATTCTCAGTAATCCTAATTTGCTCCAGACTCGCAGCACTGTCCTTCTTGGGACATACCCAGAATGCAGATGTAGAAATGCGTAAATCAATGCTCTCTAATCTCAGAACTGTCTGGCCTTGGAAATTATTATAGACATTAGCAAGTGCCCATTTACAGAACCCTGTAAATCCATCCCTTTATGCTTGCACTGATTGCCAATTGGTTTCTGGGCACAGTTCAATGGCTGGTGATTATCTTGAAAGCCCTAAATAGCCAACCCAGGATGTCTGAGGCATTGCCTCCTCAACTACCAGCCTTGCCCGCCTGCTTATTAAGATCAAGATGGGAAATCCTTTTCTTGGTTTCACGTAACACAGAAACATTCTTGGTTGGAATTAGACACAGGGAACACCTCTGAAGCCAGAATGTCCTCCATCCACTTTAAAAAAATGTTGGCAGAATTTTAATCTGCCAAACTAAATTAGCTTTATTGGAGAAGAGTGGGTTATCTGACTGTCTTGCTCATGTTTTCTATCTTAATTTTGCAATGCTAATATTATAAAATGCCTTGAATATCTATTAAATACTCAACACATAAGTATCTAACTAATAAGCAGTGGGGAAAGATCTTAAGTGCACACGAACTCATAACCTGACTTTCTTGTTTGTCATCTTCCTTCCTTCCTTCCTTCCTTCCTTCCTTCCTTCCTTCCTTCCTTCCTTCCTT